TTTGCCCTTATCATTTCTCTTATTGGCTCTATCATGTTTATCATCCTTTTTGATGGTGCATTACAAGGCTTTTCTGAACAGGTTTTCATTTTCTTCTGTCTAAAAATTTAAAAATTATTCTTTTTTATTTAATTTTAAAAATTCAAATTAATACAAGCAAATTTCTAAGTGGTTTAATAACACTTTATCAAAAATATCCCTCAAAATTTTAATTTTTTTTTTTTTCAAATTTTTTTTCAGTACTTCTAAAAATTTTTCTCCATATTTTTCATCTTTAATTTACAATTCATGATTTCTTATAGTTGTTCTGAGTAAAATAAATAACTGAGCATTTCAAATATTTATTAATTTTTGCCAACACTTACTTTTTCTATTAATTGATAAATAGCCGATGACCTTCCATCTGTCAAAAATAAACGATCTCCATTATATGCATACATTAATATGTGGGTAAAAGAGAGTGACATTAATATAAATAAGTTAGTTTATAAGACAAATAACTTGGAATTTTAGATTGAACTATGCAAACAGATGCTGAATTTAAAACAAATAACTTAGGGCACGATCTGAGTTTCCAAATCTACTTTTAAATTGAAATGTGTAAATATGTTAAAAAATCAATTTATATAACCTAAGATAGAATTTACTTTTAATTTAAAACATGTAAACAGGTTAAATTTCGTGGTATGATTCATTTCAACTTGTTTGTCAAACAAGAAAGATTTGAATTTCAGTTGTATAACCCTAACATAAGATGTATTTTTAATTTATACTTTGTAAAATGAATTATAATCTGATTTATATAACTTAAAATTTCTTTCTTATCTAAAATATATGTAAATAAATTGGATGAAATATGTACAGCATTCATTAATGAATATGTTAAAATTATTTTACAGCTTAATGTATTGGTACCGGTGGGTACATTTTCGAAATTTCGATGGCTTTTTATCGCTATTACACTGCTTCTTATCATTGCAGTTATTGGTTTCCTATTTGTTGGAGCAGCCGCTACAACCGGTAATTAATTTCATTAATAAATTTGAAATGTAGCAAAAATTTATCTAACAGATGCAGAAGAAATGACAATAAACTTATGAAATTTTAATTATATAATTAATTATAAGCACACTTTTATTGATGAAAATAATTGTAATCAATCATTTTATTTTTTCCTTTTTTTCGATCAAAAGAAGATTGAAATTCAATTTTTTCATCATTCCTTTTCTTTCCGATTTTTTTTCTATTTAATTTATCTTTATTTTGTTAGTCATACAAAAATTATTATTTAAAAATTTAGCAAACTTCTTAAAAGAACTTTTTTTTTTTCATTTTATTAGTTGGTAAAGTAAAAAGAGGCGGTAAAATAAAAAAGAGGTTGAAGAAAAATTTGAAACTAAATTTAATGGAAATTAAATGGAATATAATTGCTGTAACGAAATTTTGTAATCTAATGCTTAAATTATCATAAGGAATTATGTTTTTTCTTCTGACCAATATTAAATTGCGCATTACAGTTTTCTCACAACTATAAATTATAATGTAATTACTTTTGTTAAGTGTGAGAAAGTTATAGAATTAATCTGAAATAATGACAGCATTGACCTTCCAGTGGTTTCAAACAATTTAAAATTTGTGACACATTTTAATGCATCATATTTGGTGAAACTGAATAATAATAATAATAATAATAATAATAATAATAATAATAATAATAATAATAATAATAATAATAATAATAATAATAATAATAATAATAATAATAATAATAATAATAATAATAATAATAATAATAATAATAATAATAATAAATAATAATAATAATAATAAATAATAATGAATAATAATAATAATTAATAATAATAATAAATTGTAATAATAATAATCTTTTCCATACTGATTATCCGATATGATCGATTTATCTTCTTATCATATGTCACAGAGGTCAATAAGAAATTATTTGACTAACACTACTACGTTAATACAAAAAAAAAAAAAAAAAAAAAACACTTTTTGATAATTAATTATAAAGTATTAAACCATTTGTCAACTTTTTCATTTTCTTTTCCTTACAATTTTTTGTGCTAGAAATTTTATCGAATGAGCAATTTTAATAATTTAATTGATTATTGCTAAATTTTTGATAATTGTTAGTGTCATCAAGTATACTATTACTAATGTATGTTAGTAGTTCTGATAAATTATATAAAATCGTAAATTTTCAGAAAATTAACGATAATTCAAACCCAACTTTTGTCGTGAAAATATTATTCGCTAGTAACCAATAATACAAATAAATTAACGCCGCGAATATGCGTTCGTTGTATTTACCTACGAATATGAAATGAAGAATACAATCAGTAAAAAAATATAAAAGAAAGAAAAAAAAAAAACTAAACACAAAACTATGCATTGTTGAATACAAGCGACCTCTGACCTCCCCATATAGCCAATAGACACAAAGTATAAGGCAGTTCACATACAGAAAAGAGAAACAAAGAGCTGTCAGTATATAAGATAAATGCCAGGAAACCAAGTAAGAAATAAGATAATCTTTAGTTTTATGGGGATAATACAATTTTATTTGATATAATTTGTACGTTATTTGGAGGTTCGCAAGACTTATTTCAAATTTCGTGATAACTTTTTTTTCATAAAAAAGGCAATTTTCTTCTGAAAAAAAAATTTCATCTACAGTAATTAATCAAATATAGCAAATTATTTGCAAATAGAGCATATAGAAACCAACAAGTTTTAACAACTTAAGAAAAGATCAAAAAAACTTCTGCAAATTTTGGTTTAATTAACTCTTAATATAAATTATTATCGATTGTGTGAAACTACCAACAATTATGAAATTGAAAAAAAAAATCCTTATTGTTAAGCATAACAAAAAATGAAAGATGAAAAAAAAATTTTTTTTAATTTCAGTATCAGTTCGTTTTCACACGAAAGCGGATATACCTGATGAACAATCATTTCTTATTCGAGTCAGCACATCACCGTGTATTCTTGGCTTATTATCATTGGTACTTAGTACTTTAGGTGCATTTCTTTCTGATATCATTTAACTTAGATAATTTAAATTTAAATGGTTTGATTTTTCTGTTAATTGATAATTAATCCATGTTTCCTTTTCTTTTTTTTCAGAAATGTATCTCAAATAATCGCAATTATATGAAAATATTTTGTAGATATTATATCCTTATCATGTAAATATGTAACATAAAATTACACATAAAAGAGAATTTTAGTAAGACATTAAATAATAATTGTGGAATTATAATAATTGAATAATTTAAAATATATATATTACATTTGTAGTAATATTCTGGTGCGCAATTGTATCAATTAATGCCGTATTTGCGTCATTTTACATTGTATTTATTACTGCTATATACTCATTTTGTAATATGGTTGATAATCAGTGCTTTGATTTCACCGTTTTACTACCTGCTATTGTTAATCGAATTAGCAATAAGGTATGTATATTTATTATTTCAATTTTTTAAACAGCTATGGTGCTGAAAAATTTTAAACAGTACATCATTTATAGTATATGTAATAAGATTTTACATTCGTTACAAGTTTTCTTCATCTTATTTTTCACATCTTTTGTAATATTTAATAAATCATTAGGATTAATTAATATGAGGGAAAACAACTCATCTCATTATGCTGACATTTTAACAATATTAATTGGCAACATCAGTTAATTAGTTCAGAAATTATATTGTTATATACCAAAGTATCATTGAATCGATTTTTTTCATTTCGAAAGAAAAAAAAAAAAAAAGAAAAACCTTAGTTAAATTATAGAAAGTGGATTTGAAATTTTGCAAAGACAAAAAGGAAGCGTTATGCGCGGCGGAGAATAATCAAATTTGGCCATTTATTGGTGCTTTATCATTTTGCTTTCTTACTCTTGCAGGATTAGTATATTTTCTAATGTGTATGAGTGCTAATTACACAAGGTTTGTTCGTTAATTTCAAATAAAAGAAAATTCGTTATTTTGTAACTTAATTGCAGAATTTATGCTATACTTGTTTTTTTCCTCACACTTAATTTTCATGACGTATAGGTGAATTTGATCAAAACAAATCAAAAGTGAAAATTTTAGTAATCCAATTTCAATATAGAAATGATACAATTGATTTGCAATGCTTCATTTTTTACATCATATCAAAGAAATCGTTGGAAATTAATTAAAAATAGCTTTGTAAAATTCTGAAAAACTAAAAGAATGAAAAAAAAATTTTAGGATTCGTTCTGAAAGACGGGCACGTAAAGGTGAGCATTATGCGATGAATCAGGGTACCGTTGATTCTAATTCATTCATTCTTACAAATATGGGCAAATAAAGGATTAATAATTGTGATAACAGCTTACAGTTATCATTTATACAAATGTGATAATAGCTTATTAATTGATGATTATTGTTTTATGATCAAATTTTTTTTTATAAAAGGATTCTTGTTCTCAAAGTTACACATTTGATATGAAACAGGAAGATATCAATGATAGAATTTAATATTTCTATGGAAAATAATGATATTACTCTATGTTTTATGATAATGACTTTATACTGATATACAAAACCATTATATGTAAAGAAATGAGAAAAGCCTATTCGAGAAGACCGATAAATCGTTTGCATAACCCGGGAAATACAAGAAAATCTGGAAAAAATCAGATACAGAATTCACTATGATAGAAGGCTGATATTACCATAATATATTGTTGTTGAGATAAAAGATAATCCACAGAATGCTACAGTTATTGATAAATCTCATCTATCATAACAATATATCCTGCAAAATGATATATTAACTGAGCTAACATATGTCAGATTATGTGACGTCAAATAAGTCAAGCTACGTGACCGTATCATAAAAAAAACAACAGAAGCGTTTCACGTATCTTAAGTCACTGTCAGCTTACGTTTTCCAAGTTACGTGTATCTCACTCTATGCATACTTCTGTGGAAATTCCCAGTGAAATGATTCTACCCAACGCATTTCATCGCGGAAACCTCCCAGTAATAACACATTATAGAGGCAGTTGCGCTGCATCTTTTGATATGTGTCTAAGACGGAATTACTGGCCATTTGAAATTTTTTTGCCGGCTGAGTGTCGGCTTTGCCGATTGAATGTGGGAGGACGTGAGGATGCGTCGGTAGTGTTCGTACGTGACTTTGCCTTTCGGGCCTTTAATATTTGCGCGAGGAGGGATTTTGTTTGTGTGGAGGAACGTTTAGACGTTTATGCGATATGCGCGTGCTATTTGTTTTAAAGTACACTGGAATATGACTTCTGTGAATCGATAGCACAGATGGACGCGTGATTTTTCATCGTATATTGATTAAAAATTATATATGATTGAATGGAATTTTGTTGCTCTATGAACTAACTCTATATCATGTCAGTATTGTTAATAACTTTGCAAGATCTCCTCTCTTCTTCCGGATTTCTGGAAAAATTTTCGAAGTGATTAAAAGTGATCGTAACTTACTGTCTGATATTCGTTAGTTAAACGCTGACGTTTTCTTTTTTATATATAGATTTGAATTTAATCTTGAGACTTAGTACTTAATTTCGAATGTATTTATAATAAATTTCGTTTGAGCAAGGACGAATTAACGTTAATTTCTGATTTAGTAATAAAGATAAGATAATCATAAATTATTTTTTGCTATCTTATTTGAAATTATTATTTTTTGTCACTTAATTAAAGTTCTGCATCTCTGTGATCATCTTTATGTTGGAAATATATTATTTTCGTATTTAAATTTATTTTTTCTTTACAAAATCGTTGGATTTGGTTTAGTTTTAATCAAATTATGATTATTGTGCCACCAATCATAGTTAAATCGTAGTAGTAATTGGTAACTAAATTCTGACTTTCTGTTCTTGCATTACTTTTGTCAGCATAGTTAAGGACAGAATTTTCTTGTGGTATTCATGCCTATAATCACGACATGAAAAATTTTCAGTAGTCAACGTTTCTCCTTCACAATTTTCATTTTTTAGCTATCTCATTTAATAATCACTGTTACTTTCCATGATCATACTGAAAGCAGAAATGGTTTCCTTGTACTCAGTTATGATTTCACTGCCGTTGTCACAATGTTACTGATAATAATCAGATCTCGAATGTGATAATTTATGGTCGCTATTGCTGTAGTTAACTTCCGGTATAATTCAATACATTGGTATGCGAAGATCGATTTTAAACAGCTTTGATATTTTATGACTTTACTTAAGGATTCAAACATATGTTAAAAAGGATTGGTTTTGGTTCCAACGACGAAAACTAGACGTTTGTACGGAAATCGTGAAGGGTTGTTACTGTACATATATAAACATATATATATACATAAATATATATATATATATATATATATATATATATATATATATTTATATACATATTCCACATTATTTAACGTACATAGCATTGTTATGGATGATCAGTACGATCAACAGATGCGGGATGATGATTCGATAGAACTGAAATCAGATTCTGATAGTAGCAAGAAAAGACGATATGCTGCAAAACGTGGTATGCATTTCTTTTTACGCTTCTTTTATTTTTTTGAGTAATATTGGGGGAAACTTACTAAAACGATTCCATGTTCACTTATTCGGTCGTGACCGAATAGTAACTTTCAGTCATACTTGGAAATGCGATTTAGCATCAACAAACAGAAAATATGGCGACAAAAACAGAGAGAGCTAATAGAACTATCGAATGCTAAACTTACTATTTAGTTATTTTTTGGAGCCATCCATGGTTTCAAGTTAGGAAATCATAGGATTGGATATATACATACATGCGATAAACAATGAAAATTGGGAATTATATTAAATCATTAGAGTGGGAATTAACATGACGTTTATTAAAGAGATATAAAAAAAATAATATTTTACAGCAGCTCAACACAGTAATAAGATATGATATTTTATTCCTTTTTCAGCTTTTCTTGTCAATGATTCACATTGTTCTGCACCGTCGTCATCGCCACATTCAAGCCCGGTTGACGCTTCAGTTCCCACTGATTTCAGTTCTGGCGAATTGAATGACGCAATTCAGACATACAGTCGATGCAAAAAGTTGAACTTTTCCTTCATTTCTGGATTTTTTTCTGATTCATTGCAGGAAATTTATGTGACAAGATTTCATGCAAAGTAATATTAAGTGAGGGCTTGTTGAAAATTGTATAATAGCTTACATAATAAGTAAGCATATGTTATTTGTTCCACTGATTGAAACTCCGAATGGGCATTGCAAGAACTCGCCTTCGCAGAGCCAACCAATATACTTTTTATCGTTACTAATGATAGCCAAAGCAGACATTTTGAGTACTAATTAAAGTATTGGATTTCCTTAGAGATGAAGGTGCCAGGTAATACGCACTTCTACAATGGGATGAAAGCAGATACCCACTCGGTGTCTTTACATCACAAGTATTTTGTGAAGTTATGCGCATAGATAGATTATACTACCAAATTTTCTAAATGGTTTTTCTTTTTGTAGTGATAATTTGCCGACAAAATCAGAAGATGAAAATGGAGACTGGTGGATGCATTTTGATGAAATGCCGATACGAGATGAGGAAAATGACTCACCTTTACTGGTAGTTTTATTTTTTCTAACAACGCATTAATCTGTACTGCAACCCTAAAGTTCTTTTTTCTGTCCTGGAAAATCTATATTTCATGTTTCACTTATTTTTGCAGCTTTTTTTTATCGGGAGTTAATAGGTTGGTATCATTTTTTGATTTTTTTGTTGTGAGGTTAATGGAATCATGCTGGATAATAATGACGTCAGACAATTCACCCCTTACATGTTCTTTTAAACTTGTCCAATTTGAACTTGATTTATTTTCATTTATATTTTTACTTGGGATTTAGGATGTCGTTTATTTAAGTGTCAAATCAGGTTCTAGTCTGTATCATTGCTGAAACATGAAAAAGCCAAAAAAAATTATGTTAGGATTAAAATCTAATTTCTGAGGTTTCTGAACAAAGATAAATGTTTACATAGACTAGCGAAGAGTTTTTTCTTGATTCACGCAGTCTGGTTGTTATGTTAATTATGTTAACGGAAATTTAACGGCAAATGTCATACGCTTCTTAAAACTATTTGTGGCCGTTTCCAGGACGATCAGATAAAAGAAGTCACTCATCGAATGAACGAGTAATCAGAGGTTGGAGGTCCCGCTAATTATAATGAATAAGGGATAACAAAAATCTACTAGTAAAAAGAAAAAAAGAAATTGCAGATTCGAACATCAGTGAGTCCTGCTTTTGCTAAATCGGGTATAACGTTTGACAGTGGTGGAGCATCGTCCAAACCTTCACGTGATATGGAGTCAATGAAGTATGAAATGGCGGGCTCTGCTGCTGTGGTTGGAGTGATGCACACTCTAACTGGCCGAAAAGCCAAGATAAATGCAGTCGGTGTGGTTGCACCTGCAGAAAATGCGGTAGATGGCTTTGCTGAGTCGATGAGTTCCAAAAGTGAGCTAGAAGATGTGGTGGAAAGTGTGGAAAGTCCACAAAGTAAATTCGATTTGAATGAAGATGACGGGCAGACACCGTATCCGTCGACACCATCGAAACGGCAAAATGTGGATTATTTCCAAGAAAATCTTGATTTCTCCAGTGTTCCAGAAGTACTACTACCATCAGTTTTTCACAGTATGTTTGCACATTTACTGATTTATTAAGTCGAATTTTAATACATTCTAAACAAAGCATATAAGGAGTGGAATTTTTTGATAAATACATGTATGCAGCTTCCAGAAATATTGTTACAAACTAAAATATTTTGGATTGTTTCAAGTATATTTTCTGTAGGATTACTGCCCATATCTTATTCAGTTAGTTAGAAGCAATTCTATTTGTACATCAAATCATGATTACTTTATTTAATTGAAGTCGTCCAATCATGTGTAATACATTATACATAATGATAGTGAACAATTTTTAACTGATTGACTAAGGAAATATTAATTTGTTTAGAAATATATTGCCTAAATAATATGCTATGAAAAAACTCGATTTGTTTCCCTTTTTATATCTCATTTCTAGTAATGGGAATATATGGAATATTCCAGAGTGCTTATTTGTAGAGCAAAAATGTTATGCAGCGTTCTATATTATTCTTTATTCTCACGAATTCTAACTGTAGTCTCCTCCTAAAGTTTGCAAGTAATGAGCTCTCCCTGTTACTGTTTTTGCACTAAACGTGTTTAGCGTTCTTCAATTGCTAATTCGTACTTTCTCAAAAGTCGTGTGTACTTTATGGTTATTTTTATTCTGTTCCTTCAATCCCTTTAATTTCTTTCAAATATTCAGCATTGCAAATCTTCATGGTCGAATAGTACTGTTCAAATTATTTTTCCAAATTTCACAATCTAATTTTTTTTTTGATAGTTATTAATTTACAATAAAGAAATCTTTCGTTTCTTTTCAATTTTCATTTGATTCCCAATTAATAGTTAAGTGAGATTGAATTGGCTACTACCGTTTGTTTAATAGTTACAATGTTCTCCAAGATACTACTAGTATGAATTTAGGGAAGAAAAGATAAGTTGCAGACACGTCACCCCAACCTGGGAAAAAGGTAGCATGTTACTTAACAGGGATGGAAATTTTGCCTGTACAGAGCGATAGTAATAGAATTAAGAAAAAATAACGGTGGAATAAGAGCGTGAGATTCATCGCAACATTTCAGAAAGTCCAACTGGTAGAGCAATGTCAAGCTCGGCTCCAGCATCCACCATTGGGTCGTCATCTTCAAATATGTGTGATCCTTTGCAGCGGCCAAATACATTTGATGTTAAAACATCACCATCAGCACATGCCGAGTTAAATTCAGTTGCAAGTGAGAGGCCAAAAGAATGGGAGGATTTCACTGAATTACCATCCGGGATGTTGACTCGTTTATTTGATCAGTTACATCGTGCAAGGTTGTTTTCTTTTATGAAGTGGTTGAGATTTTAATCGTAATATAAAATTTTCCAAAAATGGAAGAAAGGCAAAGGATCGAGAAGTATTTTATTAATAGGAAATATTAGGGGGAAAAACAAATATTTGAGAATGTGTGTAATATGATGAGTTGTGGGATGAGGTTGCCACACAATTAAAGAATTAAATAGTTGAATTTTTTCAACTTTCCCAAAATCAAGGACAAAATTTGAAAATTCATGCATTGTTTACGTTTTTCATCTGCTTAATCTTGGTATGTTTTACAGATGGGTGGTGCCAGTATTACCGAATCAAGA